ACACAATTGATGTGTGTATGGATTGTGATAAGAGCTGTATGAGCCCCTAATAAAATGATTAAAAAAAAGATAACGGCGTGACCAATACGCACATAAAAGGATGCTCAGCATCACGAGTCGTCGGCCGTGCACTGTGAAGCCTCTCCGAGACACTGCCAGAATGACTAGGAGTGAGAGTGCTTTTGAAGAGCCTAGAACAAAACGTGCCACATCTTCTGTACTGCTTTTGTTGCGGTTGTGGTCATGGTTTAACAGTGGGGTTGGGTAGAGGCTTAATCTGGAACATAAAGTTCTAAGAATCCTTAGAACAGCAGTTCCCAACCTGTAGGTTGAAAGCCCTTTGGAGGGTTGGACGACCCTTTCACAGGGGTCCCAATACATCCTGCATATCAGATATTTACAGGATGGATTATAACAGTAGCAAAATTAGTTATGAAGTAGCAACAAAAATAATTTTATGGTTGGGGTCACCACCACATGAGGAACTGTATGAAAGGGTCGCGGCATGAGGAAGGTTGAGAACCACTGCCTTAGAAGAACTGCTTCAGAAACATCAAAGCAGTGGTCATCAATCTAGGTGGAGACAGAAGACCTTTCAAAATCATCTTCAGATTTTTATCAAATTGCATAGACTCTTCCCGCCTCCACCCTGTCACTCTTAACAGTCATAGTAATATAAATGAGTGTTAATTGCTTTACCAAGTACTGTGCCAAGACCAGGTTGGGAGGGTGAGGCACAGGAAAGCAAGATGGGCCAAGGGAATGGAGGAGAGCTTAGATGGACGAGCACTCATCCACCGTAGTCGGAAGTTAGGAGGCAAACGTCTAACATGGATAAGCAGGAATCATGTAAACATGACTGAAGAATGCTGGTGATTAGCAGAGGAAAAAACAGCCAGAGCAATTGAAGGCATGTGCTTCTGGGAAGACGGTGTTGGAGAGTTGGTTCTTGTTGGTACAAGATTCCCAATACTTTTTTTTTTTAATTATCTTATTGGGGGCTCGTACAACGCTTACCACAACCCATACATACAGCTTCCCAATGACGTTTGGGATGATCACCATTGGAGGTCGACCTGAACACCGTTAGACTGCAGCACCATCACCCCCACTGTGAGGGTGGCACAGGGCCTGGCTGTGTTTCACTCTGTTGTGTATAGGGTCGCTATGAGGTGGAACCGACTCAAAGCATAGTAACAACTGCGCCAGGATTTACAAGTCTAATGCAGTGCTTTTTGAGTGTTAGAATCCTTAGCAAGTTTTGTTAATCAAAAGTTTTCTCTAGCCGACCCCTTAAGGAAGGACTTCTACTAACTTAAAACCAAAGTAGCATCACAAAACTCTGAGAGCTTTAGTATTACAAAAATACAGAAAGGCAAAACAAAAATCATGAATGAGGCTGATTTGACTGATAACGCTTAAGCCTGGGTCTGTGGAACTCTTTAGATTGGGGAAAGAACAGTTCTTTCGGTTTCATTTGGGAACCCTGGGGTACTGATTGAAGGGAGGCCTACCCACTTTGGTGACTCTCAGTTTAGTATCTGCCCCATGGGGCCCTCTGCTCGTACGTGCTGTCTGCAGTCGGAATGCTGCGGTGCAGCTGCGCCTCTGCCGAGACTTAGTAAATGATTTGTCCAGTAAAGAAGGAAAGCTGAGGCGGCGGGGGAGGTTGATTGGTTTGTTTGTTTCCTGTAAAAGGGAGTGTTGACTAACAGTTTATGTCTGTTTTCCTTTTAGGTTAGGTCCACACTTTCGGGACTCATGTCTTTTCTCGTAAGTAAACCAGAGCGGATTAGGGTGAGTGTCCTTTTCTTCTGACTTGACTCTCTTGTTTTCTGAAAAGCAATGTATTTGGACCGACATTGTTAGTGGTGTTCTATGGGATGCTTAGAGCCTTATAGATGTAAAAGATGTAGGAAGTAAAGCTCATACTTCAGTCTCTACCCCTGAGAAAAGAGCTTGCAGGCAGAGGTTGACCAGAGGCATGGGATATACCTTCAGACTGGTAACAGGGTGGCTTGTCTCATGACTATGAGCCCTCCAACATTAAATGAGTTGATAGCCTGTCAGTGAATTATCTCCCCTTTGTCTTTGTGTTTGGGGTAGGTTTGTGATTGTGGGTTGTTTTAAGTTTATTTTACTATTGAGAACATGCCCAGCAAACATACATCTGTTCAACAGTTGTTTTTTTTAAAACTTGAAACATATACATTTTTTTTTTTAAATCATTTTATTGGGGGTTTATCCAACTCTATCACAATCCATCCATCCATCCATCCATTGTGTCAAGCACATTTGTACATTTGTTGCCATCATCATTCTCAAAACATTTGCTTTCTACTTGAGCCCTTG